GGCCTCAGACTTGGTGCCCTCGAACGTAGTCGGCTTGGGGGCCTTGAGGGAGGAAGGGGCAGAGGGGTTAAGCTGCTGCTGGCTGAAGGCCTGCTGCAGGGCACCCACACTTGCCTCCAAACCCTGGTGGCGCTGCAGCAGGTCCATCACAAGCTGCTGCTGGTGTTGGGCAGCGGCGGCGGCTTGCTGCGCTGCTGCGTGAGCTGCGGCTGCCTGCTGCTCAGCAACGGACGGCTGCTGCATGTTGGGATCAGGATCCATGATGAGGTTTACAGGGAAAAGGGAAAAGGTTGAGCACAGAAGTCAAAAGGTTGAACACAGAAGCCAAAAGGTAGATCGTGAACAACTAGCGAGAGGTAGAGCGCTTGTTGCCGAGAACCTCGGAGGAGACCTGGAGCGGCGGCGAAGGTCAGATGTCACACGGTTGCCGAGTCTGAAGCGCGGCGGCGGAGACCTCGAACGGCTGCGGCGGTCGCGGTGGCGCGACGGCAGCGGCGGCGACCTTGAGCGGGAGCGAGAGCGCTGTGGCGCGACGACGAAAGGTGGAGTGGGGATGCGCTGACGAGTAGTCTGCTGCTGCGGGGGAGCCGGTGGCGGAGCAGCTGTGGCGGCCTGAGAACGCTGGATGAGGTCGTGGGACCACCGGCAGTAGCAGTCTTCACGCCGGTGGAGGGTGGTGCTCAACTCCCGGCGCTCAGCAGCGGAGAGGCAGCGGATCCACCACTGGTGGCGCCAGAATACGGTGCCGGGAGCGAGGTAGTCACTGTAGCGATAGCTTGCTCGGAGGTAGGCGTCGTCCTGCTCAGTGAAGAAGTCCTGCGGCGAGATGTGAGGAAGGGGCCAGGGATAAATTGTCCTTTGGACTGCGGCGTACTCGTCGCTGAGCCAGTAGATGTCGTCTGCAGCCAGGATGACTCGTAGGCGGGTGATCAGGCCGAGTTGGAGGTCACAGGCGTTCAGGGACGATCAACAGGCCGGGTGGACGAGCGAAGCCAGTAGCCGTGGGTGGTCGGACGGGCCAGCTGGACGCGGTCGAACCCGGAGAAGGATTTGATGCGCACAGTGGTCACCGTAGACGATGTGTCGTTGTTGGATTAAGGATTAAGGATTAAAATTGTTAGACGATCCCGCAG